GTGTGATTCTGACATTCGGTACGCTAAATTTTCTTCGCAAAAATTCTCTAAATGAAAAGCACTAGGGCCTTGAAGTATACAACATGGATGCGTAATCAACCAAAGCTGGCAGTGTGGCAGGCATGCAACTAGATGTTGCGTGTTATTAGGGAGTCCCCAAGCAAATGCATGTTTTATACGGTAGCAATTCATAGCAATTACTATTTTATGTGTGTATGATTCATATTTGTAACATTCTATCATTTGATGTTAAGTATTTTTGAGAAGCTCCGGGTAATGGTCGCTAAAACTTGGGTGTGCTTAATATGCTATCTGGGCGGATGCGCTGGGTGGAATTGAAGTCTCTATAACTATACAAAACTTGTTTCTTTGGAATAAAGACTTAAATATATTCGGAAGTTTAGAATTTTACTTGATAAATTCAGAAAATAACACAAAATTCACGTTTTTCATAAAAATAAAATTTAAAAAATTTCCATTGTAAGATTATAATTTAATTTAAATTTGATATTATACGTAACATACATTTTGTTCATAATAATACATAATAATTAATATATTTTATCCTCAAAAAGAACTTTTTCTAAACATGAGGCGAAATTCCCCACAGTTAGTGTTGCCGTGCGCGCAAAGCGAAAACGCTGCACAAAACCCAAAAGTACTCCTCGGGGACCAATTGGTGAAAACCTGCGAAAAGGTTTATTACTGTATATACTGTGGTGCGCGCATAGTTATTTAAAAATATAAAGTTTGGTGCCAACGGGGGTTTCTCAGCAGATATATATTTCATGTGAGTTATAATTTGAAAGTGTCTATTTAGCCAAGGAAAAAGCAAAGCAGTATACTTAAACCAGAACTTCATCGTTTCTTTTTAGGAAATTCTTACCACCATGTACATATGCATTATTTACACTAGTAACTATTTATGTAAAACTGAACCTTTTTTTCCAATAATAAACGGTTAGCTGATTCAAGTCTACAGCAAGTTAACAAAATTAATTGAAAACTTGTATCAACCAAAGCATTGTTTATATTTGCTCAACAATGATTTTACTCAACTAACAATATTGTCCAATCAAGTTAGTCGTTTTGTAATTATTAGCAAATATACAATTGTCCCAACTAGAAGTCTCAAGTAAATTGCAGACTTTCGTGAACTAGATATTTATTTCGCCATATCCAACTTTGCCACTTGGTCACTCTAACCAAATCTTGGTAATTATAACTAAACCTTTTTCTGGGTGTACACGTCTATTCAAAGGATTAAGCTTTAGTTTAAAGAAAAAGATTGCGGTTTGAAATATGAATTTTTTTTGTAAATTTTGAGGTGGATTTTGCGCAAAAACTGATGAGGTAAAGGTAGCTCATAATTTTGTACAATTTATGAAACTTCAAAAACTTATTTTTTGTCAAAAATTTTGAAATGAAACCACCTTCTTTTTGTATCATGGGGTATTCATTCTATTTTTCAGCTGACTACGGTGAAGCTTTCTACTTTGCATTCCCCGTAATGAATCAAAGCAGTGAAATTAATAAAATATTGTAGAACATTCTGCTATGCATTACCGGCAATACCTAAAAGAAGCAATCAAATTAGAAGACATTATAAGGCAATGCGTTCTAGAACACGTTACCACTAAAAGCGATTACCGATTTTTTGCTGGGAACGCGCTTGCATACATACATATGTATATACATATGCTACTTAAAATGTATCTAACCGTATGCAAATCCATTAGTTGAAATGCGATTCTGTTTGCATACAAAAAAATCTTCATGCGTCCATACATTTAAAAAATACTGACATTAACGGAAATAATATATGTCCGGTTCTCCTCGTTTGTTTTATTCGCGTTTATGCATTTTATTCGGTAGTCCAGAAATAGCTAGAAAAAGTAATACTGGTAGTATTATGTATGTACATATTGTACATGCTTTCTTATGTATGTAAGTGTAAAGCCAAAAATAATTCCAAGTAAAATATGGCGTATTTATTAGTTGTAAAGTTATTTATATTTCTTTCTTTCGTTTATGCTATTTCTATATTTGCAGCAAGTCTTAACGACTAAACTATTGATTAATTGCCGTGATATGCTAAGCTATGGATTCTCAGCAGATATATATAGAAAATATCATGGTTTACAGTGTCGAAAGCTTTAGAAAAATCCAGTAGTACTAGTATGGTAAGTAATTTGCTATCAAAGGCGGGGCGAAAGTCGTCCATTCCCTTTATTATTGCTGTTGAACAACTGTGATTAGATCTAAAGCCAGATTGAAACTCACTTAAAAGGTTATTTTCATTCAGATGTGAGACTATTTGTTTAGAGATACATTTTTCAAAGACTTTTGATAGTGCCGACAAAACACTGATGGGTCTATAGTTTGAAGGGGTCATAAATTTTACCTTTAGGGATCGGAATAACATTTGCCACTTTCCATTGATTTGGAAATGTAGAAGAGGTTATAATAAAATTTATTGTGTGTGTGAGCGAGGGAAGGACGTAGGGAAGAATCAGTTTTAAAAACCGCAAGCTAATACCATCCACGCCAATGGAATTCGATTTTATAGCATAGATACTCCTTACAACTTCATCTTCAGTGACTACATCGAACGTA